GTCTTTATCGTGATCTACATTCGACTGTAATATGACATTGTTTTTTTGTCGCACCGACAGAGAATTTCTTAACAAGAAAACCCTCCACCACCTCTTTTTCCAGGAAAGCAGGATTTGCTAAATTCGTCATAGCTATAGGAGTGGTCTCAAACTGAACTCTACGACGTCTACATCGGTGTAAACTATAATTAATGACAACTACAAAATGGCAATAATAATAATAAAAATAAAAATAAGGGTGCATATAAAATATATATATCTTATAACCACAAGTCAAGTAGTACAATGTAGAAATAATACTTGCGTGAAATACCGAAAGCTATTAAGAATGTAAACAAAATCGCAATAAAAGTAATTTGTAAAGTTGTTGTGATATTTCGTTGAATTGGGTATAACGCAATAAATACATGAGAATTATTACTATCCAAGCTTCGTATGTAGTCGATTACAGTTTGACTCACATAGAACGCAGGGATTGAGATCGAATTAATGTCCGCTGACAGTCGATTACTCGGTATTGTGCCATTATTGTCATTACTGTATAAAAGTACACCCGTTGAAATGTTTTCAACATTTTTGATCTGTTCTTGAATATTGCATAAATTACCATCTTGAATTATTGCAATTCGTTTGTTATTTATGGGATTTTTAGTCAAATTACAAGCATTTTCAATAAACAAGGGATTTCCCTTAAGATAAAATTAATTATTAAATGAAAAATATGCCACAAGAAATATAATTAATATAATTTAATGAAATAGTAGTTTACCTTTACTCCATTCGACGGTGGAAGTGGAATATTAATAATTGGGGCCACGTCATTTTGATCACTAGTAAAAGTTTTCGGGTTCGAGACACTAGTCTCAACAATGACCATATTCGGTTGCCCGGTAAATAACTCAGAATTCACATTTAAAGGGTATAGTAGACAATACGTAGCAAGTAGAATTACATTAAAAACGCGAATAGTCATAACGGATAAAATTTAGAACTAAAAAAAAAATGTAGAATAAACGTCTATACAATTCGTCAAATTCGTCATAATTTTTAATACGGATAATATCAATATATTCTTTATAAGGTAGCATTGCATGATTTACGCCGATAATAATTTTAATAATTTTATGAGAAACGAGTTTGTCTATTTTAAATGATTATATAAATCTTATTTTTAATTAGGTTATCGTTACCACGGAAAATCATTGCACAGAGATCATATGTTATTACATGTGACAACCTGATAATGTAATATTTGGTTGTGAATATTTGTTTATCATAGCCAATAAAAGATGAATTTTACTACTAAAAATTGCAAATTTCTTTATAATGCTCTCACGATTAATTCATTATTGGGCTTCGAAATATATCACGGAAAAGGTATGCAAGTTAATCTAAAAAAAAAAAAACACGATCTGATTAACATATACAAACCATTATTTACTTAATAATGGAAAGCTTTTAGCTAGTGAAGCATTTCACAGATTTGCAGTTAAAACGCATCGAAATGTTTCGAAACTAACAGATCAAGGTTTTTACTTTTTTTATTTGACCGTTTATCTGATTTCATTAATATTATAAACATAAAAGATAATTACATTTCTTTTTTAAGCTTTTCCATATGTAGATGAGAGTATAAAACGCACAAAAATATTTACTGATAGTTTTAAAGAAAACTTAAAACGCGAGGCTGAAAAGGCACAATGGCCTAAAGTTTGAAATAATGATTGTAATCGATTAAAACCTATAACGATAAGTTTAGTCGATAAATTTTGATACTGCTAAAAGGTTATCACCAAAAATTTAATCTGCATTGATAAACTACGATCCAAAGCTCTCGCTGGCTACGCTGGTATTTTATTTTTATTTATTTTATTTTTATTTTTTTTTTTTTTACGTAAATAAATAAATAAGAAGATCAAACCGCAGTTTATCCAATATTTTCCGAAGTGAAAAAAAAAATAGTCGTAGCATTTTCAACGGCTGTCAATGATTATACCATTACGATAATGACGGCTATTCATTACTTAACATGACTCGAAATAATAATATCTGAGCGAATAAAATAGACATTAATAAAGACTTACTTGGAAGTCCATTTCGTTTATGATGC